ATTATTAACTGTTGGTTAGGATGATGACAATTCATTAGCTATATATGATTGGTAAGGAAAAAGATAAATTTGTACATCAAACATAGATAAGGCAAAGGTTAATGGAGCAGCTTGGAAGGACAATGAAGAATTTGTAACAGTTGGTAATAAACATATAAAGTTTTGGAAAATAAGTGGTCGTAATGTATAAGGAAAGATGGGTTAATAATAAGGTAAATTTGAATCTTAATTCTCTGTTGTTTATGCATTTGACAATCAAGTTATAGTTTCAGGAGGAGGTAGTGGAACATTGTTCTGTTGGAAAGGTGGCAGTAGTGATAAAGGTATCAAAGGTCATGAAGGCAAGGTGTGTTCATTTATTATGGATAAGGCAAAAAAATTATTATATTCTGGTGGATTAGATGGTAAAGTAGTATCATGGGGTTATGAAGGAGGATAATTAGTTAAGAAATAAGAAATTATCAATCTGGCTACTAATCCACTCTTTCCACCTGGAGTTGTTGCTATGGATTACAATGAAAAAACTTAACAATGGTTATTTGGTACTAATGGTGCTTAGATATTCTCTTATGATCCAACCAAAAAATAAACTAGTATTGTTGTTTAAGGTCATTTTGGTGAAGAATTATGGGGAGCTTGTGCTGCTCCAACTGGACACAAGTATGTTACAGGAGGTGGTGATAAGACTGTTAGAGTTTGGGATATTGATTAAAAGAAAATGATTTGTGTCAGTAAACCATTTCCAAGTGAAGTTAGAGCTGTTGATTGGTCATCTGATGGTAAATTTATAGTTTGTGGTGATCTTAATGGATTTGTATATTTATTAGATCCAAATACATTACAAGTTATGGATACTGCTAAGACTATTTTTACTACTATGCCTAAGAGATAATCTACATATTGGATTGATGATTTGAAGATATCACCTGATTGCAAGAAGGTAGCATTTGGTGCTCATGGTGGTGCATCACATTTAGAAGTTTGGACTATTGAATATCCTAAATTTGGTAAATAAGGAACTAAAATTTAATGTGGTTTAACATCTGCCTTAACTGCATTAGATTGGTCAGTTGATTCATCTATTGTAATTGTTAATAGTGGAGCTTATGAACTTAAATATGTTGATGTAAATGCCAAAAAAAATTAACCTTCATCTAGTTAAGCTAATACAGAGTTTGCTTCATGGACTTGTAAATTAGGTTGGCCTGTTTAAGGTATTTTCCCTTCTGCTGATTACAGTGATGTCAATACTGTATGTAGAAGCAATAGCAAAAAATACTTGGTATCAGGTGAAGATACTCAACATGTTGTCTTGATGAATTATCCTGTTGTTGTACCAAAATAAAAGAGAAAAGAATATATTGGACATTCTTCACATGTAATGAGAGTTAGATTTACATGTGATGATAATTTCTTGATTTCAGTTGGTGGGAATGATAAATCAGTTATTGTATGGAAAACAGATTTTGGAAGTGCTTAAGGAAAAGTTGAATAAGTTAATTTGTAAGAATTATGTAAGGAAGAAGGAGCAGATGATATTGACATGCCTGTTAAAAAGAAAAAGGCATAACCACCTCCTAAAAAATAAATATAACAAGATGAAAATTCAGTATTCTCACAAGAGGAAACTGATGAAGGAGATTAATTTATGGCATGTAAACCATGGATGGGGGCAATTAAAGAACCAACATATCAATATTATTAAAGTAAAACAGAAGGACATAAACCACCAAAATGTGATTTGGAAATTGAGTATGTACATGGTTATCGTACAAAAGATATGAGAAATAATTTATTCTTTTTAGCAAATGGCTAAGTCTTATATAATGCAGCTGCATTAGGAATAGTTTTAGATGTTGGTAGTAATACCTAAACTTATTTCAATAAACATGAAGATGATATCACAGCAATAGATTTGAATCCTGTTGATAGAATGACAGTGGCTACTGGTGAATTAGGTGCTAAACCAAATATTTTTGTTTGGAATGCTGAGACAAAAGAAGTTAAATGCTAATTCAAAGCCCCATTATAAAAAGGTATAATAGCAATGGCATTTACTCCAAATGGAAAAAGATTAGTTGCTGGAGCTGTAGATGTTGATCATTCATTAGCAGTTTTTGATGTAAGTGGAAAAGGAGCAGTATTATGGTCAGATAAGAGTGGACCAGATGTTATTGTTGATTTAAGATGGAATACAGATGATGCATTTGTAACAGTAGGTGTTAAACATTATAAATGTTGGAAATATGATAATGGAAAATGCTAAGGAAAGAAAGGATAATTTGGAAAGGGAGCAAGTAATAACTTATCTGGAATTGCTATTAATGGAAATGATACATTATGTGGAGCTGCAGATGGATGTATATAAGTATGGAAAGGAGAAGCATTTATGAAACCATTACCTAGTAAACATGCACAAATTTGTGATTGTATTACAGTTACACAAGATTATGTTTTCTCAGGAGGAAGAGATGGAGTATTCTTTGTTTTAAGTAAAAATTATGAAGAAATATTGGCTGTGAAAGTAAAAGAAAAGTGTCCAGATTCTGTATGTCCTAGTGTAAGAGCCATCTATGCTGATTTACCTAATTCAAAATTATTGATAGGAACATTAGGTAGTGAAATTTATTAATTCTCTTGGGATGGTGGTGCTATTAATAGTTAAAC